TTCCAGCGAACCTTCACTATAGGAATACGGCTTTCCTCTGTTTGCTTGACCTCTCAGTCCATAATTTCTACTGGTTCTTCCATGAAGTTGAGGCTCTCGTCGATCTCGATTTCGCCGAGTGGGATAACAAGAGTCTCGTCGGACATACACTTTTTCAAGTTTGAGACGTGGAAAACAGGATGTATGTTACTTAGTTCTTGAGGTAGTCGGAGTTTGTAAGCTACCGGACCGATTCTAGCGAGAATCTCAAATGGTCCTATGTACCTTGGATTCAACTTGCCACGCTTTCCAAAGTGTATCATGTCCTTCCAGGGTGAGACCTTCAACATGACGCGGTCACCAACGTGGAACTCCAAAGGTTTTCTTCTTTTGTCGGCGTAGCTTTTCTATCTATCTCTGGAAGCTTTAAGTCGCTCCCGGATTTGTACGATTTTCTCTGTGGTTTCGCGAATGATTTTCGGACCAGTGAGAGTTCTTTCAGGAATTTGGCTTCTAGCTAGCTGCATGTCACCCACTTCAGCCCATCACAGAGGTGATCTGCACTTGCGGCCATAGAGAGCTTCGAAAGGAGCAGCTTTTATGCTAGTGTGATAACTATTATTGTAAGAGAATTCGACAAGGGGTAAATGAGTATCTCATGCCTTACCAAAGTCTATCACGCAAGCACGCAATATATCTTCTAAAGTTTGAATACCGAGAAACTTCGCATACTGTTCATTGCCTCGGACCGCAAACACTTCGGGCCGCAAAGAGTTTACGGTCGTACACTCCTCGGACCGTAAGGTAAACAAGGCTTCGGCCGTAAACGAATTGCCGACTTCGGACCATAAACCCCTCGGCCGTAAACCCTCACACATATATATAGATTTCCTTCATTTTCACCATTTCTCACACTTTTACCTCAAGAAATCCAATTCTCTCTCAACTATCATCAAGATTTACACCTTGATCTTCAAATAAGTATGTGTTTCTCCTATTTTATTAGTTGATACCTTGCTTAATCTAGTGAAACCCTATGAATTCATCCATGAAATCATCTCTTTTGCTTAGATCTTCAAGAACACACACTAGTACTTTAGACCGTGAACACCTCATTCAAGCTTCAAAATGTAAGTATCCTTCCGTATACTAGTTATTCTATAGAAGCTCATAACATACACCCTTGAAAACAACCATTTCCCAAGAACATAAGAGTTTACGGCCATGAGCATCTCCCTTGGCCGTAAACTCAATATCTTCTTAGGCCGTGAACATCATTGGCCGTAAACTCCATGGTCGTGAACACCATGTGTGGCCGTAAACGCCATGGCCGTGAACACCTTGTGTGGCCGTAAACCCCTTTAGAACAATCACATGTGATTGTAACACTTAAATTCAAGTGTTTTCTAGTCCCTAAAGTGGTTTCCTATCATAATTAGCTGTTATATACACTAATTATATCCATATATGTATCATTATATGCTTAATAGGATCCGTTGTATTCAAGACTTCACTTGACACTTAGCATCCTACACCAATCTTACATTTGAATAACTTACAACAGGTGAGTTCATACCCCCGTATTTTTACTGTTTAAGGGGGGGGGGGGGGGGATACAAGTCTAACACAAAGTTTTTGTGTTATAAACAAGTGATTTTCAAATATCTTATCAAATGGAATTCGGTTATTATCAAATCAAATGGTTTTAAATGATAGTTTCAAAATGACATCAAGTCATCAAAATGGATTTCAAAGTCTAACACAAAGTTTTTGTGTTATAAACAAGTGATTTTCAAATATCTTATCAAATGGAATTCGGTTATTATCAAATCAAATGGTTTTAAATGATAGTTTCAAAATGACATCAAGTCATCGAAATGGATTTCAAAATATCAATCTTCTTTTAAATGTTTTTATAAACTTATATTTTTCCCCAAAAATCATACTAGTATACATATATTTATATAAATAAGATTTAAAAGGCTTAGTACTGATAACCCACTTTGATTCCTTTTCCTTGTCTGGATGTTGGATTACAAGTATCAATTATTTGTCCGAGTGTCATTTAAATTTTACTTATATATATTTGTATATGTATACAAGTATAAAAGTTAGTTCATTAAGTACAATTACCCTTTGTAACATGTTGAGCAAGGGGTTACATTCATGAATACTCGTTATCAATACAGAAAGTACATATAAATTATAATAGGTATAATTTATGGTTCACAGAACATTAATTCATGATTCAAATATACTAAAGTACATTGTTTTACAAGAACAAAGGTTTGATTCAAAAACTATTCAAGGGTATACATTCTTTCAGATATATACTAAGAATAGTAATTCAAGAACATACTATCAATCTTTTATTTCAGAATGATCGGGTTTTCATAAATATTATACAAGTAACGTTTATATACTTTTATGAGACAAGTAGTACAGGTTGTTTAATTCATTTAAACAATATAGTAAAGCCCTGACATTATAACCAGAATCTTCAGCCGGGGATCGAAACAATGTGTGTATAGATCTATATTGGGATTGAAAATCCCGCACTCGGACTACTAGCTACAGTCAGACATACATGCCTGTGAGTGACAAATTGTTAACAACATGTTTTCAGCGCACTCATAGCGTTGGGTCAGGCCATCTAGTCAGTATGGTCATAATAACTCATATAAAAGATATTAATAATACGTTAGTGTATAATTAACTAAACTTAAGTACATTTTCAAAATACTAGTTTACAAGATACAGTTTACAGTATTACATTACAGTTTACAATAACAGTTGATGAAACCAGACACACTCTCAGATACAAGTTTACAAAAGGATTAAAAATACAGAACATTTTTTTACAAATAGAACAGTTTTATGTAATTAAAACTACTTTTTATATACAGCAGAAAATATAGGATTTTCTGGAACAATTTTCATATTCAAGAAACAGAAAACATTCATTCAAATATAAATACTTATGCACTCACTCAACTTTATGTTGATACTCTCCTTTCAAATTACTTGTATTCTCCCGGAACCAATAGACAGGTACACCCCGAGCTTTTGAGAAGATGGAGCTATTTATGTCTTGTCTTCTTCTTTTGTACAACTATTTAGTTTCAGTATACAATGATGAAACACATGTAAATACTTATACTTTTTAAATACAATGGGTGTTTGTACTCTGATTACTATAATGCATGTGTTGTGATACTACAAATGAAGTCCTCCACCCCCAGACGTTTCCGCCGTCTGGTTTGGGGGTGTGACACGCGGGCTCCCCCCGGGGTCTTCCATGAAAGTATCACAGAGACAACTAACATACCACATAACACATAATGGGCCGGCATTGGTGCCTTCGACCCATGGATATAGTGAGAAGACTCACCTTGCACTGCAGAAGCTCGGTGAAAGAATCCCTAGCTGCTACCCTGACGGCTTCCCGAACTATCAATACCAACAATACACCCAATACGCATTTGGGCTCCAATGCATAACCAGAACTCCATACCTGGGGAAAAAGGACCATTTTACCCCCAGCCTAGCCTTGTCCAAATCCATGACCCCAACTACAATCTGAAAGGCCCAAAGGCCCACTAATCAATCAATGGCCCAATTTTCCAAATTGGGCCCAAAATCCTTACATGGCCCTGTCTTAACGCCCAACCATTATTTCTAGTCCAGACACTTTGTATCCCGATGGCCCATTAATAACTCAAGCCCAAAATACCAGAAACTACTAGATCCATCAATGCCCACTAATGGCCCAATTTTCCAAATTGGGCCCAACCCCATACGGGCCTTATACTAAGCCCATAATTCCCTTAATTATAAGTCAGAAGTCAAAGTTAACTGTCCGATTCGACCCAACTCGCCCAGTTTTCCTTCAACTCATCGAGTTTCTCCATTAATTGCATAGATCGAGAAAACTCGTATCAACTCGCCGAGTTCTCCTAATAAACTCGCCGAGTTGGCCAGGAATCAAACAACTTACTGCATTAAGCCGTTTCCATCGAATCTAGAAGCTTCCAATCTCAGATCTCTTCCTAAATGATGACTAGAAGGGTAAAGTTTCCAACTTTACCCTTAAAAACCACTACAATGAACCCCAACCCGAATCCTTGACTTAATAGAGTGAGGCTTAACCCATTAAGCCGTTAAACTCTCAAAACATAGACCCAAAACACAGATCTGACATCCCAAGGCTGGATTATCAAGTAAAGTTTCCAACTTTACGTCCATGCATGCAAGAAAGGAACCCTAGAGCCCAAAATGGCTTAATAAAGGACTTAATGCACGGATGGGACTTAGGACTTATCAAAGCTTGCAACTTTATGCCAAGAGAGGTCATAAAAGGGTTATATTTAACATAGTAACCCCTGGAACCCTTAACCTTTTGGACAACCCAACCATACACCCAAAAATCAAGCTAAAACATCCCACAAAGAGATCTAGAAGATAATAACATAAGGTTTCGACTTTATACCTCAAAAGGACTGCAACGAATGGAGAGCTTCTGGATCCAAAGCCTTCCTTCCAATCTAAGCACCTTCAATCTTTAAACTCCTTCCAAAGAACACAAAAAACCAACTCTCCAAGCTCACCACAAGCTCACACACTCAACCTTGAAGGATAATACACGAAATTAGGGTTTTCTGGACAAGGAGGCTGGTAAGGAGGCCAGCCAAGGGAGTCAAGGTCTTTAAATAGAGTGAAAAACCCTAAAATTAGGGTTTTCTTAAATAGCGTCCAACTCGTCGAGTTCCCTTCACCAACTCGACGAGTTGGTCCTTAAAAACACGCGCCCCAAAAGCTTCCAAAACGTCAAGTTTATGCCATAAAATCGACGAGTTGGCCCCTAAAAAGGAATTTATTTCCATAATTGACCTTCTACATTCCGAATGTTACACTTCGACCCATCGTACAGTGAGGAGACTCACCTCAACCTGCTGAATATCTCAGATAAAAGCTTGGACCGCTGATCCAAAAAATCCCCGCACTTGCATCACCAAATAATACCCAATTAATAATTAGTCCATATGTAACACCCCGAATTTAGAAGGCCTAGAAAGGAAAGAAAAGACCTCAAAATAAGGAAGTGACTTGTCGAGTAAATAGGGTGACTCGACGAGTAGGAGCGCGACTTGGATCGCGAATTAAGTGACCTGCTCGACGAGTCAGAGGACTGACTCGGTGAGTTGGTCAGGTTTTGGGAAAACCTTAAATTCGGACTTGGTACCCTATTTAAACATCTTATTTTGAGAAAGAACTGGTAGGGTTACCGGTTGAGTAAGAGTGTGGTACTCTAGAGTCGTAATGATCGGATTATTCTGAAAACAATAGAACCATTAAGGGTAGAACTATAACCATTAAGGGTATATTACAATTATATATAACTAGGAAAGTTTCCCCCCGCGTTGCGGGGGTTAAAGGGTATTCCATTGTAAACAATGTTATTGATTAAGTATTTAACACAAACTGTTAAGTTGTCATGCATGCAACATAGATTCCGCATGTAACTGCCATGCATTCAGGTCTTTTTCGTCTCCATGCCTTCTCAAATTGTTACTCTGGTCAGCCTGATACTTTGTGGTAGCAGTTTTGTCACATGACACCATAAAATGCAACAAAAATGAGATGATTTTACTTTTTACAACACAATACAATACAAGACATACGATATACATGAAAAATGTTTCAGTTAAGAAATAAATCGTTCAATCAAGTCAGCTTCATCCAGGTCAAAGTAATATAGAAACCAAAGGAAGGCTTTCAGCCGTTTATGTTCCCTGAATACCATTGATGACAAAAGCACCCAAAGTTAAAATTATTTATTCATGTATTTCTGATTTTATTTTATAGCTATCTATCCTCTTCATCTAAAACTCTGTTAACAAATAATGTATAATAAAATTAACATTAACAACAATTTGGGTTTAAAAGGTCACAAGCCCTAAGATTGAGAGAGGTTTAGGCAGGAGTATATGTATAAGTAACCCCATAAGAATATAGGTCAGTATTACAGGGGTCTTGTATGTCCAAACCAAATTTAAGACCAAAAAGTTCACACACCCACAAAAAAAAAATATACAAATGCAATTCTGATGCTCCTTCGATATAACATGTCAGTGACTTAAAGCCTTATGAAAGGTGATTTTAAAGGCAAAATAGCCATTTTACATGAATTTTAACACTCATGGACAAAGGGTTACCAAAGATGATTTTAGGGGCAAAGCTCTCATTTTACGTAGATGCAACATTGTAGGGACATAAAGTGTGAACCAATGCGGTTTTAGGGGGAAAATGGTGAATTTAAGTAGGAAATAAACTCCCCAAAATATCTATTCTTGTTAGGTCATGTAACCATCAAGCAAAAACAATTGTACCTTAGCATGGTCAAGTTCTTCCAATAGCAAAACTCCAGCACCTTCTCTAATTAAAATCCATAACAACCCTATAGTTAAAAGGAAGAAGAGGACTCCAACATTGTAACTCATAATTATACTTATGAAATCAGTAATAACCTTTGAAAATGGAAAAATTATACATATATTATATACATAATGTTAGCACCTGATAATAACCTAATAATCACCTGTGTGTACAATTCCGTTTGCATGCTTTATGAAAAAAGTGTCTGTAAATTCTCAAATTCTTTTCTCAATTTGCTAGTTTTATTTTCCAAGTTCTTGTACCTTTGGCAATGAGAAAATCATAAAATCTATCGTTGTAAAGCACGTAATACACATAAAAATTAAATATAAATGAAAATCTAAAATAAATTATATCTTAGCAAAACTTACAGAAAATTTTCATACTTTGAACCAACAAAAGAGACCACTTTGTCTTGAAAAAGCCAAGATAGCAGCTGGAAGATCTTATTATCTCAGTCAACAAAGGGACAATAAAAAATACAGTGTAACAAAACAAACCAAGTAACTAATGGAGGTGTAAAATTTACCATTTTTGATCTCAAAGTCTTCATCAATAAAGACCTTTCTTTCTCAGATTCCTTAAAACATGAACAAACCAACCTTTCTCTTGTTCGAATTGGTTTCAGTTTTGTAGTAATCTGCATTCAAACAGCCAAAAAATGAAACTAAATTCCAATTTCAATTAAGTAAACATAAAAAACTTTATTAGTTAAGAAAATAAACATGTAACTTCAATCTGTCTGCCTGATCACAAAATCAGACGAAAGTTGAACTCTAATAAATTAATGCCAACATCTTTATTAGGTTGACAACAAAAAAGTGTTTGTATTTCATACACTCTTCAACACTTCCCATATATCCATTTGGAACAATGAATTATAACATAATAGAACAAACCAATTAAATTTATTGCAAAAATACATAAAGTAAATGTTACAGATTTGCCTCCTTTAAACCAAAAGAAAACATACTATAAATAAATTAAAAGTTTAGGTTTACCTTGAGAAAACCAATTGAAGCAGCCATCGAAAACTGCAAGAATCGGAAATGAAAGAGCCGTTGAAAATTGCAACTAAAAGGAAACTAAAGAAAGAAATCAAAAGATAGAAAAGATGAAATTAAAGTTTTGTTGACTGGTTTCATGTTGACTTTTTACCAAACGGAATGATTATAACCCCTTCTGCCTCGAGCTTCTTTTCCGCCTCCTCCATCGTCTTCCCTTTCTCTCGAACGCCTTTTGTATCCGACAATTATTCTTTCATAACTTCGACCTACGGATGATGTTGATTATCCGGACTCGGCTTGGAAAACGACGTCAACGGAGGTGAAGGGAAGGCACAAAGAAACCCCTGTCAGAGAGAAAGCAAGAGTCGATTTGAAGCAGCCGACAAATAAAATTGAAAGGTAGAGGCGCTGCACTCCTTTTTTTGTTCGTGTCACCACACAGCAACATAAAGAAATCAAGAACCCCTGCGTATTCAAGGTAATTAAACATAAGTTACGTTATGTGATATCAGGGGCCGTTTGGATATAGATTTTGCAATCTAAAGTATTAAAATCATAATAAAAAATAATTTGGTTAAAGTGAAGAGTAGTTCACAATAATGCAGGTTGTTGATTATTCCAAACAATATAATTCATGGAGATAGGCCTACAAAGTTCAAATTCATAGTTTCTTTCCACAATTACTAAATGTAACTAATGGGGACTGACTTCAATCAAACTTACAGCCAATAACCTCTATTGACAAAATCAAATGCCATTAGCATAAGAATGTGATACAATTTGATATCAAATCTGACTAAATATGGGCAAGGCCACAGCTTGAAACCTGAAAACCTTTTCTAATTCCCTAAAAGCATAATACCTATAATTATGTCAATGTTAAAGCTTTGGAACCATTTTAACATCCAACTCATTTAACCATATGAGTAAACCCGTGTTACTTATTTCCGTTTTGATCCCACTATTTCTTACAAAAGACTGAACGTTTTTTCATCATTCAATATATCAAACTATGAGCAAATGTTGCATTTCAACTATTCATCCATAACCCAATACCCTAGTAATTTGAAATCTAAAGAAAAAAATATATATTGCAAAGAACACATTTTTACGCATCAAAGACCAACAGCTAATAACATTCAGAGCATATCATTATTTTAACAGAAAAATTGTGAGATTAAAAGCATGCAAGGAGGGCAAAAGAGGGATTTCTCACATTCAGATTGTACTCTGAAACTTTTCCTTTTCCTTCACTTCTAATACCACCAGTTACCAAAGTTAATGGTCTTTCATCAACGACTTCATCAATGAAACCAAACTCTTTAGCGTCTTGTGGTGTCATAAAGTAGTCTCGATCCATATTCTTCTCAATCACATCAACAAATTGTTTATCTCCTTAAATACTAAAGAAGAATCACAAAAAAAATACCATCAATGCTTTCGAAGGTTCTTGTTTCTCAAAATAAAACCCTATGCCTCATCGAGGCATTTCATCAAACAGGTTAGGTGCAATTATGAACAACATAATCAACTTGTGAAAAAACATACCTTTACTAAATATGAGGCTTCCTTAAACATTAATTTCAAACCTGTGCAAAAAAAGGAAGCTTCGGGTAGTTAAAAAACCGAACTCAAAATTTCAAACTGGATTTTAACCGACAAGAAATTGAAAACTATAAAGAAAATCAAGGATGATTCGTCTTAAACCAACAGAAGGTGCAAGCGGAGAACGGAAGATTCGACTTAAATATGAAAATATGGCACTTATAACAGAACGGAAGCATAAAACAAACCACTGTTACCGTTGAAAGGTCCGATCGATACCGATGAGCGTGAAGATTCCAATATCGTCCCTTCTACTACTGTTTTTTCTCATCTTTCTTTTTTGTTTAGCGCCAAGTTGAAGCCTTTTTTGTATATATATTGATTTTGGATGCTCGGTGGATGTAGAACACAAAGTAGTGACCGGCGTCGGTGGTTGTCATGAAGACTTCTGATCGGAAACAACAGGCGGAAGCGGTGACGAAAAGGTCGAGCGGAAGAAAGTTGACCGATGCTCGCTATAGAGAGACGGTGGAAGGAAAAGGGTATGAATGGCGTTTTAGTAAGAAGGAAAAAGAAGTTGTGGGAAGGTTTATGTGATTGGATACAAAAGGCGGTGGAACAGTAGAAGTGTTGGCCGGTTCGTCTAAATCAAGAACAGAGGCGGTGAAGCAATTAAAATAAGGACACAAATAAAAAAAATAAAGTGTCAAAACAATAAAAACAGAAAACCTTGGTGGCAAAAATCTAAACTTTTTGGTAGCAAAAGAGTGAACAGCCAAAAAAAAATACTGTAGACAAGGCTCCCACCTTTAAGTGTATATATAATTAAAGTTATATAGACTTAGAATATGTGATTTAGCTTCATTTCCTGTTCCTTGTTTGGTTGTGGATTTAGAGTCGGGTCATTTAATCGAAGGTCGGTTATACCCAAGTTATATATAATTAGTATACACTTTATAGTTATAGAAATACCTAGAACAAGTCATACATAATACATTACTTGTTAACTGTAGGTCTCTTTTGTAGAAACTTGTATCCCTAATCAATCGTTACTAACTATATTCTATATCTCTTATCCTTATTCTTGCTTAGATAACAATGGCTGGATTTCACTTACCCGAAGACCCGTACTTCCCCGGTCAAGATCAAGGTGTAGAACCAGAAGAAAATCACGAAATTCCCTTAGACGATGATTTTGCAGAAAATTTTCCTGAAGACAATGATTCCGAATCAGAAGCCTATAATCCACCACCAGTAGCCCAAAATCCTAACCGTTGTCCGGCTTTTCAAGGCCCGATGCCTCTGTGGGTGGAAAGTTTAGAGACATGGAGCCAAGAACAGGGTCAACCAATGCCATACAATGGAGACCGAAGCTTCTATAACCTGAGCGAGGGAGGCTCAGCGGACAGAATCATGCCTATTCTGGTCCGCAGAGTTGCTCGTAATGAGGTTCAGGGTAGGACAGCCCTCAACCGAATCGCAGAAGTTGACGCCAATGCAGGAGTCAATATTGTCTGCATTCGTCGGCTGAAAGATGCTCGTGAGAGAGTTGAAAGAGACAATGAGTCTCTACTACAAGAGTTAGCTGAAACTCGAGCTGAAGTTATAGAGCTACGAGCACGTCTGACAGTATATGAAAGACATCTGCTTGCTATGGAGCGTCAACTGGCTGAGTTGAGGTTTCATTCAAGAGATACCCGTCGCCAGTAGAAGATACTCTACTCGTTTCCTATTTACTCTTTTGGTTATAGATAAGTCTACGGATAGGTTCTAGTGTTATTTTTCATGTTTTTCAGTAAGACCACGAAAATTTAAAATTCGGTAGGTCTGTATGATGTCAATGTTTTCCCAGAATTTGGTGTGTTGTAGACCTGTTTAAGGTCTAAGTTTTCCAGACTTTATGTGATCAATATGCCAATTCAATTGACATGCATTTCATAGTCTTTGAAAAATAACCATTCAATTTTATATCATTCTGTTACAAGTTGTACTTGTCGTAGACTTCTATTTCCAATTCATTACAAGATTCATGTTGAACTATATGTTTTAGTTCAGAGATATCAAAATTCATATTCACTCTTGATATCTTACCATCTTTGTATCTTTTGACTTTTATAGAAAAAGATGCCTCCTCATAGAAATCCAAGACGTAACATTGTTAATGAAGCGTCGGTGCCACCTCCGCCACCACCTCCTCAGTTCGACCCCGCTATGTTCCAAGCGGCGGTCACGGCGGCTGTAGCTGCTGCCATGTCTCATATTAATACTCCTGGTGCTAGTGGGTCAGGAGCCGGTGCAAATCCTTCTAACCATGGCGAGAGTCATGGGCACTCGCGAGAGTGCACTTATAAAGATTTTTCCAATGCCAAACCCAGGACCTTTAATGGAACTGGAGGAGTTATGGCATTAAGACAGTGGATAGAAAAGACAGAAGCAATTTTCGAAATCTACTCCTGTCCTGAAAGCAGCAAGGTCAAGTTCGCTACTTGTACCTTTTCAGAAAGGGCTTTAACGTGGTGGAATGGCCATGTTAAGTCACTTACTCTGGTAGTGGCTAATTCGATAAGCTGGGATAACTTCAAATCCATGCTTATGCGGGAATACTGTCCGCGAGGAGAAGTTCAGAAACTTGAGGAGGAGCTATGGGGTCTCTCAATGGTTGGTTCTGATATATCAACCTATACTAGTAGATTCTGTGATCTGGCAATTCTTTGCCCGGATATGGTTGCTCTGGAGAGCAAGAAGATTGAGAAATATATTTGGGGACTGTCGCCCCAAATTTAGTCAAGCGTTTTAGCTTCGAGGCCTGTTACTTTTAACAGTGCCAAAGAGCTGGCACAATCTCTTATCGACCACGGAGCCCGTCAAAACTCAGTGGTTGCTGTACCAGAACAACCGAAGGGAAACAACAACAACAACAACAACAATGACAACAACAACAACAGCAAGAAGAAGGGTAGGAAGAAGAGGAAGGGAAAGTTCTCACAGGATTCCTCAAAGAAGCAACAGCTAGTTACAGTTAATGATGCTACTGTACCTGTTGTTGTTCCTGTTAACCCAGCACCAGCTAAGCCTTATGCTGGTAATCTCCCCAAGTGCAACAAGTGCAATTTTCACCATAATGGAAATTGCAGGGAAATGCAGTGTCGTAACTGCAACAGAAAAGGGCATACTGCCCGATTCTGTAGAGCACCACCCCAACCACTTAACCAAGTACCTGCTGCTGGAGTAGGTCAAGGTTGCTACAATTGTGGTGAAGTGGGACATTTCAAAAAGGATTGTCCTAAGGCTGGAAATGCCGGTGGAGTTGGTAGAATTTTAGCATTGGGTCATGAAGAAGCAGTGGCAAACCCAGCTGTAGTCACGGGTACGTTCCTTCTCAATAACACATATGCATGCATTCTATTTGATTGTGGTGCTGAGAAGAGCTTTGTGAGCCATAATTTGAAACACTTGTTAAATCAAAACTCCCAACCATTAAAAGAAACATTCACATTCGAAATGGCTAACGGAAAATCCGAATCCACCAATGATATATACATAGGATGTACTCTTACCTTGAATAACTTTTCGTTCCCAATAGACCTTATGATGGTCTCTATCAAAAGTTTCGACGTCATAATAGGTATGGATTGGTTGTGTCCTAACCATGCTGACATCCTATGCTATGAAAGAGCCATTCGTCTGAACTTGCCAGCTAACGAAACTCTTGTTATTTACGGCGACAAACCCGGAACGAACCTCCAAATTATTTCTTGCATCAAGGCACATAAGTACCTTCGCAAAGAGTACTGTGCTTTCTTAGCTCACGTGGTAGACAAAAAGCAAGAAGTGAAAGATATCGCGAGCATTCCTGAGGTCTGCAACTTTCCCGACATTTTTCCTGATGATCTTCCAGGAGTGCCTCCTGAACGACAAGTTGAATTCAGAATCGACTTAATCCCTGGGGCTACCCCTGTAGCCAAATCCCCCTATCGTCTTGCACCTTCTGAAATGCAGGAATTATCCAGCCAGCTTAACGAACTCCTTAGCAAAGGTTTCATAAGACCAAGCTTCTCACCCTAGGGAGCACCGGTTTTGTTCGTGAAGAAGAAGGATGGATCATTCCGTATGTGCATTGACTATCGCGAGCTGAATAAACTCACCATTAAAAATCGATACCCTTTGCCTCGCATTGACGATCTGTTCGACCAACTTCAAGGTGCGAGCTACTTCTTCAAAATAGACTTAAGATCCATGTATCACCAGTTAAGGATTTTGGAGAATGACATTCCCAAAACCGCATTCAGAACTCGTTATGGTCATTATGAGTTCGTATTGATGTCATTCGGATTGACGAATGCACCTGCTGTGTTCATGGATTTAATGAACAGAGTGTGTCCTCCCTTTTTGGACAAATTCGTCATAGTCTTTATCGACGATATCCTTATCTACTCAAGAAGTGAAGAGGATCATGACCAACATCTTCGTCAAGTTTTGCAAAGTCTTAGAACAGAGAAACTCTATGCGAAGTTTTCAAAGTGTGAATTTTGGATCAGAAAGGTTGAATTCCTAGGTCACATGGTCAGTTCTGAAGGAATACATGTCGACCCATCCAAAATAAAGGCAATTGAAAACTAGTCAGCACCCAAAACACCTACAGAAATCCGTCAATTCTTAGGTCTTGCTGGCTATTATCGCAAATTCATCTAGAATTTATCTCGAATAGCTAAACCTCTTACCACCCTGACGCAAAAAGGTGTAACTTTTAGCTGGGAAGAAAAACAAGAAACAGCGTTCCAAACACTGAAGCGAGCTTTGTGTAGTGCACCAATCTTGTCTCTTCCTGAAGGGACAGAGGATTTCGTAGTGTATTGTGATGCTTCTAATCAAGGACTTGGATGTGTTCTTATGCAAATAGGAAAGGTTATATCCTATGCCTCAAGACAGCTAAAGACACATGAAGTCAATTATACAACTCATGACCTTGAACTAGGAGCAGTAGTATTTGCTCTGAAGATCTGGAGACATTACTTATATGGCACGAAGTGCACAATATTCACGGAACATAAAAGTCTCCAGCATATCTTCAATCAGAAAGAACTGAACATGAGACAACGACGATGGGTGGAGCTACTGAACGACTACGATTGTGAGATACTTTATCACCCTGGTAAAGCTAACGTAGTAGCTGACGCCCTTAGCAGAAAAGAATACTCGGGACGCCGAGTAAAGACGTTGACCATGACAATCCATTCACATATGTCCATACAATCAGAGAGGCTCAACTTGAGGCCTTAAAACCTGAAAACGTGACAGGTGAAACCTCGAGAGGAATGGATAAAAACTTCAGAGTTAGGGATGATGGAGTCTTTTGTTTCATGAACCGGATCTGGACACCAAAGTTTGGTGGTTACAGAGACGTATTCATGAATGAAGCACACAAAACCCGATACTCCATTCATCCAGGTTCAGACAAGATGTACCTAGACCTCAAGAAACTATACTGGTGGCCAAACATGAAGGCCGAAAGTGCTACCTTTGTGGGCAAGTGCCTTACTTGTGCCAAAGTCAAGGTAGAATACCAGAAACCTTCAGGTTTATTGCAACAACTTGAAATCCCTAAATGGAAGTGGGAGCAGATTACACCGCGGAAATCGAATTTCAGAC